AGCAGAATGGGGTGTGCCATTTAGTCCAATGAGTAATGTCAAGATCTCTGTACCAGGGAAATGCCGATGATGCATGGTTTAACAGAAAGAAGAAAATGATACAATTTTAAAATACAAGACAGATCTTTAAGAGAGGAGTGAAGGAGAAGGAGGCATTGAATCTCAGCTTTAAAAAACTGTTCAGTTTTAAGCCTGTTGCCCAATCAGTTTCAAACCAATTCATTCTTGCATGTGACTGTATATCTCTCAGTGAGCCGGGCTACCAAAAGCACTAGAAATGTGCAATTTTTATGGAAGATTGGCCAAGGAAGCTTTTCCTGAACAGCTTTAAAGTCTGGAGCTTCTCCCTCATTAGCTTTTCATTCCTTTAGATGAAGAATGAAATCTGGTGAAGATTCTCAATTATCCAAGTCAGAGTCGTTCCAAAAAAGTAAAAAAAAAACAATCGACTGGACTTTGTTTCCAAGTTTGAAGATGTTTCGCTTCCCATACAGGAAGCTTTTTCAATTCAAAATGTCAGGAATAGCGTTAGGCCAACAGGTCCTTCGTTTTCTTGAAACGGATGAACGGGTCCACCCCTTTGGAATGGGGGTCATTTGGCTTCTTTTATTAGCCTACAATGCCCCATACTTGTCTATGTTTCTGATAGGGGGGGGTTGTTAAAAGGAATTGTTGATCTGGCTGAATAGGTGAGGGCCTCCGCTCTCCTGTACTGGGGCTGGGGCTCCGATGATTGCGGCAATAGATTAACTCAATTGCTGCATTGTAGATTGTTGAGAGCTGAAATCTGAATCCCCCCCCTGTTTTAAGGTTGGTTTTTCTTTCTTAACATAGATGGCTTCCTTCACGCCCCTCACAAACCATCTATTTTCTTTGTCCAAAATGTGAACATTCTGTTCCTCAAAAGAATGTCCTTTGTACATAAGGTGAGAATGTACCGCAGACTCTTGTCCAGAGGAGGTCGCTCTTCTGTGTTGGGCCATGCGTTTGTGGAGAGGTTTTTTGGTTTCTCCAATATAAAAATCAGAGCATTCCTCACTGCACTGAACTGCATACACCACTCCATTCATATTTAGACTGGGGGTTTTATCCTTAGGATACACTTGCTCTCTTTTTAAGGGTCTTGTTTGGTTTGAAATGTATTGTAATTTTGCGTTTGGAGAAAATCCTCTTGAGTTTTTCTGTGATGCCGATGTTTTTGAGTTTAATCTTCTCACCGTTATGTTTTGCAGCATGTCTTTTGGATTTCCTTGATGATATGACAAACGCCCAGTTTGGCTATCCACAGGTTTGGAGAGCATGTTTGATGTTTTTCTGTTCTTTTTACTTGCCTTCTGTTTTTGTAGGGATTGTAAAAAGCTTCCTAGATGGGCAGTGAAACATCTTCCAACTTTTAAACAAAGTCCAGTTATTGTTTTATAACTTTTTTTGGAATAAAGAATGAATGTTTCCAACTCTAAAAACTTAAGTCTGGAAAGTTACACTTTGGTCAGTCCACAACATATTTTTCCTAAAACCTTCTCCAATTGGATGATGTTTTTGTTCAGCAAGTGTTTTGGTCTCTTTATTGTTGGATACTGAACACTGACCTCAACAAAAGGCCTCCAGATCTTTTCATGTTGCCAAGCAGTTTTTGTTAACTCTTGCACAGTTTGTCCCTTTGCTCCTAAATTAATTTTCTAGTATCAACCACTACTCTTAAGCCTTCCGTAAAAATTCAAAAAATATCCACTGGACTTGGTTTTCAAGATTTGAAGACGTTTCGCCACCTCTCCAGGAAGCTTTCTCAATTCAAATGTCTGGATCCGCAGTGAGTTTGAGTCTTATATAGACAACGCCTTGTATCGCTTGGAAACATGCAATAGAAACCGATGAATGGGTCGTTAGTTCCATCGTTAGCCTGTAATATCTGAAACTGTCTATGATTCTAGGGGTCGGTCGTTAAAGGGGGGATTGTCATTAAGGGGGGGATTGTCTCCTGTCAGGAGATTATTTTTTGAATTTTTACGGAATGACTATGACCTGGATGACTGAGAACCTTCATCAGCATACTCTTAAGCCTCTATTATACTCTTTTTTCTATATTTATAAACAACAGCTCTCAATGTGACAGTGGGACTTAGATGGATTTAATAAAAAGAGATTTGTAACCCTTTGATAGATGGAGCCTAGACTGAAGTTCAACTGAAGAAACTCATTGCCGTCTGCTCCTGTACGCAGGCGGCGGATGCACTGTGACTTCATTCAGATGACACCATTTCAACCCATCTCCAGCCCCTCCTCCACCATAGTAGCTAAAGCTTCATCAGTGTGTCATTCCTCCCGGACTGTTTCTGCGTTCCCTGTCTCTGCCAGAGGTCTCATCCCAACGGGGAGTTTTTCCTCTCCATTGTCGCTTCATGCTTGCTCATCATGGACAGGTTCTCTTAACCTGTGTTATCCAACTGGACTTCCATCTTCCAGGTCCCTGAGTGAAGCTCAGTATCAGCTCACACAGTCCACTGGATCTCCCCATAAAGCTCACCAGACCGTCTCACTAACCAGCAGTCTACAGACTGACAAACTTCAACTATCTCCATTTCACGACCAGTTTCAGGCCTGGGGGGGAACAGCCCTAGTCTTTGCTCCTGTTAATGCATATCTATCAAAATTAAGCTCTATGTTTCGTGCCGAGGTCTGAGCGCCAAAGACAAAGTAATTGTATCAATAAATTTCTCCTAATCGTCTTTTCTCTTTGTGTGAGTTTTTCAGATTGAGATATTACACAAATCAGTTATACTGTTCTTTGAATTTGTTTAAATATGTGCATGAGTTTGGGTTTGGCCTACTTCCTTTAGTCAAACTCATTTTATTCACACTTTGTATTTGTTCTATGCATCAGGCAATAATCAGCCTTTGGTAAAATAAAATCCAGCTCTCGAAAAACTATAGTTAATCACAGTTAGATTATGAATTAACGAGTTTCTATTGCAACTATAATAGAAACCATTGTTAATTATTGTGCATGTGGATAGTTGTTTTTTATCTTAATAAGTGAATTTGTTCAAAGTTTATGTTTGAACATAGTGAGGTTATCTTTGTGTCATAATAAAGGAAGATGGATCATCTGAAACACTTAAGTAGGCTATGTCAAGTAAAAAGACAAAGTAACTCAGTAAGGGAGGATATGTAAGTGTGCCTTAATTGGACCAAATGGTTTGTAAAGGAATTAAATTGTCTTGTCATTTCTGCTTTTGCTGTTGATGAGCTCTGTACGCAATAAAAAAAGAGAGAGAAGAGTTAGGCAAAACCCAGAAGTTAACACTGCCGGTAGACTGAGAAAAAATAGCACGAGTTGTTGCTCTCTTTTCTCACGCCACCCTCTTTTTAACAGTGCAGATATGCTTCTCTTGCATTTGGTGGCATACCTTTAAGCATCTAAAGGAAGCGGCAAAAAAAAAATGTTTTCTTTCTGTTCTTTGTTCAGCCAACCCAACATTACAGGCATAAAAAATAAGCAACATGTCTGTGATTCAGATTTTATTTCATCACACTTTGTCAATTAGTGGGATTCAAAAGTATAACCGTGCCATCTTTTCCACCCCTGATATTCCAATTTCAACCAACGCATCATGTTTTTTATCATTAAAATGAAAAAAAGCAGGTTTTAACCTTCTAAGAGTTAATCTGCAAACACTGGTGTGTTAAACTAAAAATCCTGAATTACCAGCATTGCTTAATTTTGTCTGGCTTAATTAGAATTTAAAGAGTATTTAGGGATGAATGATGTTTTTGGCTTTTTTTTTTTTTTTTTTTTTTTTTTTTTACTTTGCAAGCACCATTTCTTCTTCCCAATCAAAGGATAAAGGGATAAGATAAATAAAGCCAAAAAGATTCTCTAACTCTGGTGTGACCAGATTATTTGTACATTTCAACTATGGACTTTAATAATGCTTTTACATACATTAACTATAGCTAAATTAAATGTAATCAAGGCATGTCCATGTGTTCAGTGCATCTTTTCTTCATTATCGCCATATTTAACTTTAAAAAAGGTTTCAAAGAGCAAAAAACGGAACTGTTACAGGCAGTCAAACCTCTATTCTCAGCAGTCTGACTTTAAAAAAGCGCAATCCTATGAGACATAGCTGATTTAGGGATTACTGTGCATAAAATTACCGTTGCAAAGCTGTACCATGTCTGCTTTGTGGGTCTTTTTTAACTTTTTAATTTTTATTTTCAGTTCTTATATTGAAACGTTCTGTTTGCAAGAGGGGGTTTTGTAGAAATGTTTAGGTAACCAATAGCTCCAATTCACAAAATAAAAAAAATGGTAAGCCAAGTTTCATATCTGCATGGTTGGAGTTTGAAATGACATCATTTCTGTACTGAAGTTCATGAGAAATAAAAGTTTTCTAAAGTTCTGTATCACTTGAAAGCATTGTGCGTTTCTGATTAGGTAATCACAGAGACATTTTTAAAAGTAATTTCAAAGAAACAATTAACTGCATTTCATTGCATTTTTTGAAAAAGGATTATTGTTTTCCAAAAACGGCTGAGCAAAATCTTGCTGCAGTAGAATACATTATTTTTTTGACAAATTATGCTCTCAGTATTTAAAGGTTTTTTATACTTTTTTGCTATTTGTCCTATCATATATTTTCTCGTAAACGAGCAGATGATAAAATTGGTAACACAAAGTCGAAATTAAACTGAGTCAGAGATGAAGAACGCCCGTTTGTGGTGAAGATTTCCTGTTTTTTTCAATTTGTCTATACAGTTTCCTTTCAGCCAAGAAACAGAAGTTAAACAAAAATGTAGGATTTGTCTCATTTAAAAAAAAAAAACTAATGACATTTTAGAATAAAACTAAGCATTGGTCACGTTAGAGTTTTATGTGTAACCTTCAGGTACATTTAACGCTTTCTGTACAGAATCATAATTGATCCAATAATTTCTACTTTTAGGTTATTGGTATCCTACCAAACAAGCAGAGATCTATAAATATATATTTTTCTTACCTGCCAACGCCACATATAGAGTAAGCAGATAGAAGTGTCGGGGTTCGTTCATCTTGACATGAAGTCAGACTCTGCAAACACTGTGTCTGTGTATGAGAGTGCAATCTGTTTCTATGTAATTTTTGAAAAAGGAGGGTGTTTCCTTAGCAGGTGGTTGTGTAACTTCCGCTATCACACAAGTGCTCCTTTTCAGATGCGTAGAAAGCTTCCTCTCCGCTCTCTACTTTCCAAATAATCCACAAAATATCTCAAGGTTTTTTTTTTTCAGTTGATTTTCTAATACTAAAACTGTCTGTCAGGTTCATAATTTATTTTATGGGTTCTGCTGGATTGATGATTTTGTTTCAAAAGATTTTATATCAAATTTCACCTTTAGTGTATTTTTTGTAGCTGGTTGTTAATATGTGTTTTTTCTTTCTACTGCAATGGTACCATGGAGATCATCACCATTTATCTCTGTTAGCAAACTAAGAACTGCAATTATCATGATCTAAAATCAAAAATGGTGGTTCTTACAGTAATGCCATGACCTCATAATATTGCAATTTTAAATCTCCTCTTAAAATCCTTCTTTTCTCCTTTAACACCACTTGAAATGCTGACCTTTGAATTATTAGAATTTCCATCCATCCAACCATCCATCCATTATCTGACACGCTTGTCCCAATTTGGGTCGCGAGGGGTGCTGGTGCCTATCTGCAGCTGTCCCGCAGAAGCGGGGTACACCCTGGTCGCCAGTCCATCGCAGGGTAACACAGAGACAAACAGGACATACAACCATTCACTCACACACTCACACCTAACGAGAATTTAGAGAAGCCAATTAATCTAACAGTCATGTTTTTGGACTGTGGGAGGAAGCCGGATTATCTGGAGAGAACCCACGCATACTCAGGGAGAACATGCAAAATCCATGCAGAAAGACCCCGAGCCGGGAATCGAAACCCAAAACCTTCTTGCTGCAAGGTAGCAGTGGTACCCACTGCGCCACTCTACATATTTGTTCTTTTCATTTGTTTAATAAAATCTATAATTATTCTTTGATTTGAGTAAAGGGTTGTTTTAATTATTCTAGGTTTTATTGATACTAGTATTGTTTTTTTTTTACTTTGTGTACCACTCTTTGGTCTTGAGTATGTTCAAAGCACTCTATAAATAAAGCTAGTATGTATGGTGTGGTATGGTTTTCCAGCTGCACTACAGTCCTGGCTAACTTACAGTCATTCCTTCCTGCAGGTGGTAAAAACAGAAAGATCACTGAGAAAACTCTTCATTCAGATTTTTTACACCACACATTTTCTAAAAGGATACACAGATTAATTTGGCCAACAGCCTTCCCTCAGACTCCTTATCAGTTATCTCTAGATAGCTTTCCAATATTTTGTCCAAGCTAAATTTAGAAAATAAAATGCATAATTTTAGCTTATTATTCTGAGCTAATCAAAAACAAGACGTGACTTGCTGTACATAAATGCAATTTTTAATGGGTCTGTGATGCACATGGGAAGTTAAGAGCCATCGTTCAGTTACAACCCTTCTTTGTTTAGAAAATGTCATTTTGCTTGGGCCAGTCTCAGTTAACTGCTTAAATTTAAACTTGTATACTTCCTCTTTTAGGGTGTACTCTGGTGTTTTGTTTTTAGCTGTTTTGCCAGCATTGAGTATAACCTACGCCACCCAGTTTTTTTTAAACTTATTTTTGAAATTACAAACAGGATACAATAAAGCAGAAATTAACCTACAAAAGTATCTATGTCCTTTGAAACATTTAGCATCTAGTTTTCAAAAAAATTGCCTTCGGCGCTGAGGGGGGTAATGGTTTATTGAGGCAGTTCTATACCAGTTTACTAGTTGACTCTATTTGATGAGAATAAAGGCAATATAGATGCCTGCATTTGGTTGAAAATTTATATTTTTCTTTTTTTTTTTTGCACTGAAGCTATCATCCTCCTTCCACTTAACAAATACAGAGGTTGGTGACAAAGAATAAGTTTTCAGATGTAACAAAAAAGGGAAACTCCAAGTTTTATGAATGTATATAACAAGTACATTCTTAACAAAGATCAGTCCAATTTAATCACCTGTTTGCACACATTGCAGTTCCCTGGCTTCTGCACCTTTAGAGAAAAATCTGCAACTGGGCATCCCTGAGTGATGCAACCCAGAGAAATAATGTCTACATGTGAGGAGAAATACAAAGCTAAGTTTTCTTGAGTGACGCCTCCACTGGCTTCTATCTGAAGAGCTGGGAAATCCTTCTTTAGTTCTCGAGCTGCAACATGAACTTCCTACAAAGAAGAAGGGGGTGTTGGACAAGTTTTAGTTTCAGAAATTGTTTTATTTCCTGGCCTTTGGTGATTTGAAATGATCTACCTGTGGCTGAAAGTTGTCTAACATGACGATGTCTGCTCCGGCTTCCGCTGCCTCTCTGCCCTCTGTAATGGAGCCACACTCCACCTCAATCTTACTGCTGAAGCCACAGACTGAGCGGGCCACTTTCACAGCCTGAGAGACAAAAAAGGATTTTAAGTTTGTGTTTGCAGAAGTATCAAAAGGTCACCTGAACTCAGAGCATCTGTCAGTCAGCTGGTTGCTAGTATTTCCGCAGCTTTGCAATGTGCAGAAAGAGAACATCATGTGTCATGTGTTTGGTGCATGACACAAACTACAGGCTCTTGCTGTATTGAAAAAGATATAAACAGATGTGAGAAGGAACATTACTTTTACCTAATTGTGACCAAAAGGTCTCAAAGCTTTTTTCAGTAGTAAAGAAACAAAGTATTGCTTTTGTAGGAGGCAAGACTGTGCTTGAAGACCAAGCGTAGATTAAATCATCTTTACCTTCACAACAAATCAACTTTGGTCATGCATGGATGCCACTTTGAAATATTAAAGGTGCCTTTTTAACAGCAGAATACAGTTACAAGTACATACTAAAAACATCAAATGACAAAAATAAAAATCCTTCTGTTTCAGTTATGGAAAATCTGTCATGGCTCCAGAACCTGAACTTGTGGACCTTAGCAAGCCTTTCTAATTGAATGAAATGGGATAAGATTAGTTTAAGCAAAGTTCTCTATTTTTTTATTATTTTTTTATACATCTGCATCCATTTTCCAAAATGACATTCAACATTATTTTGTTCTGCATTTTTATGAGTGGCTGACAACAATGTTGGTTACTGCTTTCTACATGTACAACATCAAAGAATGCTTTCTTAAGATAACAACATCTTTCTAACAAATTATAATTCTATAAATTTAATGCATAAATCTTACTGAATCGCATAGGTATTTATTTTCTAAGAATTCAGATTGTTTTTGCAGCTCTAAATAAATTATTTTGGCAAAATTAGGGCAGCGACTCTGAATTGTGAAAGATAGAGACCCATAGAGTAGACGGTAAAGCTGTCAGAATCTGTCTAAAATTCAATGTTTTGCTTTTTTAAACTTACATATATGCACGCTGTACTGAAGACATAAATCAGAAATTACTGACACTAAAACCAGGGCTAAGAAAAAAATTATATAAAGATATTGCTTTAAAAAAATAATCAAGGTAAACCAACAGTGAAATGCTTCCAAACCAATGCTAAAATCCAAAGTAGTGTACTTCCCAGCAAGTATAGATCCTACCTCTCACTGTTTATGCATTTCATAATCAACAGAGCTTTAAGTAGTTTAACAACCTTTACCTATGGTAACTGTTGATTTCAAGAGAAAAGACATACTTAATTTTGTTTATTCAAAATTACACTGAAAGATCAAAGTAAGAAGATGAAAATAAACATGCAATAAAACAAATAAATTGCACAGACAATATATTCTATGAGCAAGTGAGGTTGAAATAACTTATCTAATTACTTTTTTTTATGTCTTTCAAAGACAAAATTAAATTCAGTATTCGGTAATATGGGGAAAAAAAGCTGCTTGTGAAAGCAAGGACAGTCACAGCTAAAACAATATCAGGCTGATTCTTTAAGGGGGGATTACAGAGTTATTTTCAAACAAACAATTGAAATTTAGTCATTCTACATTCATCCATTGCAAAAAGTGACATTTGAGTGACATTTGACAACAAATAAGGTGAGTAAGCCAATTCTGAATGACCTGAAAAAAACACACAAAAAAAACACCTCTTCAGTTAAAAGATTAAAACCACACAGCATCAACTACAATGTAATTTGGAGATATGAAACCAATGCACAATCTTAAACCAAGCATGGTCAAAGGGCAGACACCCTATACCACAGGTGTCAAAGTCGTTCCAGAAAGGGCCGTGTGGCTGCTGGTTTTCTTTCCACCCAAGCAGTAGCACACCAGACTCCATTTATCTCATCAAGGTGAGTCTAGTCTTAACCTGATGAATTGATGGGATGAATGGAATCTGGTGTGCTACTGCTTGGGTGGAAAGAAAACCAGCAGCCACACGGCCCTTTCTGGAACGACTTTGACACCCCTGCATACCAACTGTTAAGCATGGTGATAGAGGTGTGAAGATTTGGGCCTTTTTTTCTTCCAAAGGACACGGCCACATTCTACTCATCGTGTTTACGGTGAACATATCTAAAACTCTCTTATCTCATCAGCGTTTTCACCACAGCGGTTGTATATCTTTTGCTTTGTTGCCATAGAAGCAAATAAAAACATGCAGTTTGCGGTTTGTAGCTGACTAGAATCCAAGTTGTATATTTTCACCAGTTCTTGTCCTTGTTATTTCATTTAGAACAATTGCAGCTGACTATTTAGAGAAACTGCCCACCTCTGTGATGCTTCCTGATGCCCAGATGTGGTTATCCTTCAGCATCACCATGCCACTCAGGTCCTGTCTGTGCATGGATACGCCACCCACCAGCATGGCATACTTCTCCACCAGCCTAAAGCCTGGCGTGGTCTTACGGGTGCCAGCCACCTCTCCATGCCAGCCTGCAGACTTTGCTGTCGACCTGAGCTGAGAGCAGCGGGTAGCAATCCCTGAAGCACGACTCAGGCAGTTGAGAGCAGGGCGCTCCCCAAGGAGCAGGCATCTAGCCGGGCCTCTCACAACAGCAGTGAGGGTGACAGCATCTGGGCCTGTAGATATTGCACAAAATTGAGAAATGGAGATGCTATATGTTTCATTATATTAATGCTATATCAATATGGAGCTAATTTATTCTATTTCTGCATCATGGCATATAAAGATACTGTTATTTTTTTTATAAAAATTCTTCTATTTGAGGGAGAAATGTTGTAATACTTGCATTAGTAATTTATAATAAGTGTTACCTGGACATCCTATATTAACTATTATTAAAAAAGATATATATATATATATATATATATATATATATATATATATATATATATATATATATATATATATATATATATATATATATATATATATATATATATATATATATATATATATATATATATATATATATATATATATATATATATATATATATATATAAACAGTAATCAAGTTGAGGGGGGATGAGAGGGGATGGCATCAGCCTCCTTAAAAAAATCTTAAAATCATCCCCCTTCTTAAATGAGCATCCCCCCCAAACAATCCCCTGTGACATTTTATTGCTAAATAATTAAAATTTCTACTATTTGGTAACAGTAATGGCAA